GTTGCTCAGAGGCCTTCCAAGCCGGTGCCCTGGCACAGCACCAGCTCCGCTGCTCTTCGTGAGTGTGTGGCGCCTCTGTAGATCATAATCCAAGGTAAAGAGGTGGGCAACCGAAGCAAGTTTTGAATGTCCTGATGGTGGTACTTTTGCGTCGGGCCAGGCTTGGCCCTAATAAGCCCTTGTGAGCCATACACCTGGTCGTTCTCTCCCCAAGGGGCACAGCCGGGCCACGGTACCGCTCCCGGCTGCTACCCTTCCTGTGAGCCTTCTCCTTTCTTGATCAGGTCCGGGAGGGACCGCCACAAACATGTTTACACAATAGAGAGAAGCTATTAAGCATGCTGGAGAAATGAGCAGAATGAGGGAAAGACTCTGAAGACAGAGAGGAAAACGGAAATTTTCATCCCTGGGTTGTCTGAGATCTGAGATGAATAAGGATGAAAAGGGAAAGATCAAAATGGATAGTGACTAAGGATAGTTTTAGAACTGACCATAATCTTCAGGTTAAAGAACACTGTTTACCTTTCTGTATGTCCTAAGATTATCTATATTATGATTTCTTCATAAGCAAGGAAAGCGAAAAATATGCATACTTGTTCTTAGGCAAAACGTTCGCCGTTTACTTTCACTTAGTAAATTTTAACAATACTTGAGCTGAACGTTTCTCTCATTTCTGGTGAATTTAGAAATCAGTTGTCCTAAATTACATAGTACAAATATCGAAGTGCTCTTGTATGGGTAACTGTATTATATCATGATGTTCTTGTAAGTCCACGTTAACTTTAAAATAACCTCTTTTTCTTAGAAAATACTGAGAATTGTAATGCTCCCCCTGTTGTAATAAACGGGGCTGTTGTTGGTGAACCACTGACCAGCTACACAACGGGATCCTCGGTGGAATATAGATGCAATGAGTACTACCTGTTGAGGGGAGAAAAGCTGTCTCACTGTGAACAAGGAAAATGGTCACCCCCACCTGTTTGCTTAGGTAAGACAGAGAATGCATAGAACCAAAAGATTTTTTCCCTGGCTTTATTGAGATACATTCGACATAACATTGTGTAAGTTTAAGGTGTACAATGTGATAATTTGATACACAAATATATTGCGAAATTATCACCACAGTAAGATTAGTTTACGTATCCTTCACTGCATGTAATTTTCTTGGTTGTCGTGATGAGAGCATTTAAGCTTCTGGCCACTTTCAAGGGTACAAAACAATACTGCTGACTCTAGTCCTCACGCTGTAATCAGATCCCCGGAACTTACTCTGTTTGTATAAGAACACATTGAATTTGTTTCACCCTTGTGTTTGTATTCTTTGTAATCTATTTAAACAAAATTTTTCCTTCCAGTTTTATTGAAATATAATTGACATACAGCATCTATATACTTTTTGGAGGAGAGTGGTTATATTAACAGATTTATTTTTTAAATGGAAGCACTGGGGATTGAACCCAGGACCTTGTGCCTGCTAGGCAAGCACTGTGCCACGAGCTGTACCCTCCCCCTGTGTTTGTATCCTTATGTGATTTTCATATAATGTTTTATGCATGGAAAAAAATGATTTTGTATAAATTTTTTTCAAATATTTTCCCTTATAAGTTCTGTAAGCAAAAAATCCCTAATATCTTAGCGTTTAGGAGTGTACTAGTTGTTGCCCCACTACTTTTTAAAAAAATTGTGGCAAAATAAGAACAATAAAACGTTACCAGTTTAACTGTCATTAAGTGTGCATTTCAGTGGCATTAAGTATTTTTATATTTTGGGGTCTGATTACATTGTGTTGCCTTTCTCCTAACTGAAATTTCCCCTTAGTGCAGTCCTCAGGGTCTCTCAGCTATCCTCAGAATGCTGAGGAGCACTGAGAAGAATAATCAGTCTACTGCTTTCCCCGGGAGTGCGTGGGGTTAGTAACTTCCTTTGCCACTGCTTCCTCGATTGAATGGTCACCTTTGTTTTCTCTTGTTGAGCAAATAAAAACGTGTTGTATTCACTGATGTGCACCGAGTGATAAGCGTTCCACAAATATTATACAACTAAATGCATTTTCTAGCTCAAGAATTTTATTTTTTTAGGAAGGAAATCATGATGAACCTAAGTGGTTGATGGTTCTAATTTTTTTGTTTGTTTTTAACGTTTCAAAATAAGTGGTTTTAATTTATGATACAATGAAGAGAATATGAAACAAATTCATTTGATAGCAATAAAGGATCTACTTTGTTATGTATGTGTGCAGAGAGCTTTAATGATGACAGATGGTCCATATAAAATACAGCTTTTGATGCTTATCATCATTTTTATCGTAACAATGTGTCACTTTCATATTTTTCCAATGATTTTTAGAAAGAGCCTTTGTTTTACAGAGCCGTGCACTGTGAATGTGGACGACATGCGCAGAAGTAACCTGGAGATGAAGTGGCAGTATGAAGGGAAGATCTTACACGGAGACTTGATCGATTTTGTGTGCAAGCAGGGATATGACTTGCCCCCACCAACTCCGCTTTCCGAGTTGTCTGTGCAGTGCGACAGAGGACGAGTGAAGTATCCCTTATGCGTTAGGAAAGGTAAACCAATAGCACTTCCTGACAATGTCTCAGCCGATCAACATCACCGCTTGGGTTCAAGGCAGAAGTCCGTCACCTGCTGCCTGCCTTGTCTGCACAACTGGGAACCATCTGGTCAATTTCCAGCCAGCACATACACTTAAATAGGGTGGTCCTGCTGACACCCTTCAATTCTAGGAGTCAGTTTTATAAAGGGAGAAGTCACGAGGCTTCGTAAGTGTCGCCGGACTGTCACAGGACGGCTCGCCCTCCTGCGAGCAGTCAGCACCCCTGTGAACCTCGCTCTCTGCAGGGTGTCCTGGGGAGCGGTCGCAGGGAGGGCTGGATGTAAGGGGGAGATTCTGTGTACTCCCTGGATGCGGGACGGTCACTTTTACCAAGAGAAAAGGGAAGAGAATACATACAGAAAGCATGGCTTCAAGAGGCGCCTTCCACACTTTCACTTTGGGCTGACGGAAACGGAAAGATGCAATCATGATTGCTAATACTTTGCTAGTTTTAAATGTGCATTTCATACGACAAGATTCGAATTATCATAAATTTTATGGTATGAAGTTATGGCAGAAATGCCCTCAATATTTAAAAGTCACTTGAGCGTTGTCTTAAAACTGCCCTTACATGAAACACCTGCCCTTGTTTCTGCAGCAACTGTGAAGGTGCTGGGTGCCTGTCGTAGCGACTCATGACTTTAACAATTATTGTTGCAGAATTTAAAAGAACGTGTGCGTCTCCCCCACTTATTAAGAATGGAGTCATCAAGGGGTCAACGGCGGGCACCTATGAAAACGGCTCCTCCGTGGAGTACAGGTGTTTCGAACACTATTTCCTGCAGGGGTCCCGGGAGGCCTACTGCTCAGAGGGCGCGTGGACGGCGCCGCCGCTGTGCTTAGGTACGTGCGCTCTCCGCTTAGCAAAACCAAACCGCGCCTTTCCCTTTCCCTTTCCCTTCTCTTTGAGTCGCTGTAACACTAACATGATGCTCACTTCGGTGCATCTGTGTGGTTTTATTAGTGTGCCTGTTTAATGACTGGCTTCTCTTCTTTCCCGGAGACCACACATAACCAGAGCCCAGCTCGATCTAGTGCTTTCTGAGCACAAACCGCACAGCGGGCTCTGGTTTGGTGGGGGCTTTGGATGAAGAAGCCGTTGGTGTGACTGGGGCGCCACGGAAAGCTCAAGGACCGGGCGGGGCGCGGGCAGAGATGCGCAGGGCCTGTTTTCAGGTTTTCCAGTTCTCAGGAGAAGTGCTGGTCTGGTACAGGCGTCTCTGTCACAGCTGAGAGCAGGAGTTCTGTGGATCAGTTTGTAACTAGTTTTAATTTAAACTGCATGTTTTGTAGAACAGTGACCTTCTACATGACAGCACCGTTTGGCCTCATTTTCAAAACAATTTGGCTGCGACTTTAAAGACCCTATTAGACTCTTTCTAGTAATCCCTGTCCACTCGTCCTCCATCTGGAGCACGTCCGGTGCAACGTCGGACACGTGGCATCTGTGAACGCTTGTCGGGAGTGACTGGGTAGAGTTCTGATGTGTCACGGTTACACGATTGATCTGCTGTGTTAGCAAATCTGGACCTTTCATTGCTCTCAGAAGCCACGGCTTAGTGCTGGGGCACCCAGGAGGCAAATGAGAACACAAGTTGCCCCCTTTTCTGAAATGATTTGATAGTTGACATTTTAAAAATACCGATATTTGTATCTTAAAAAAACAAAAAAGTTTGTTGGGTATCCTTATACTTAAGTTTTTATTTTGTTTTGTTTTAATGCACAAGGAGAAGGTCACAATAATACTGTCAAAGCTTAGAATTTAAAGCATCTCAGTCCAATCTTGATATTTCTTAATAACGGGGAATTTAGAAGAGAAGAAATTGTCAATTACTTTGGATACCCTTTATGCATCAGGTCATAAAGTCTGAGTCAGTGTTGAGTATGCAGCTTATTTCTGCATTTCCAAAAAAATACTGTCTGTCCAATAATCAATGATTTGTCTCGTGGGTATTTTATTTGAACTTTCTGAAGAAGAAAAAGGAAAAAGAATGTGATTTCAGTGACTATGGGTAACTATCAGTATTCTTAAAAAAAAAAAAACACCTGTTTTTGTTTTCTGTCTTTGAAAAACTCAGTAACTGACAGGATGTACCCTTTTTCCAAATTCAAGGCAACGGAGATAAATGGCAGACTGTTTTCTGTGAACTTTGAACATATTTTCTTTTAAATCTTATGTATGTATGTATGTTTTATTTGGGGGGTGGGAATTAGGTTTATTTGTTTGTTTGTTTATTTAATGGAGGCACTGGGGATCGAACCCAGGACCTCGTGCGTGCTAAGCACGTGCTCTGCCCCTGAGCTCTACCCTCCCGACCAGTGAGCATGTTTTCTGCCTTGAACATTAACCCTGACTAACTTACCGGCAGCTCTCATGCCTGGGAGCTCTAAGGTCGTCATGAAGGGGACTCAGTGGCTCCTGTTAGTGCTGAGGTGCATCAGGATAGTCTTCTGCTCCTTTTTCTTTTTTTCAGAGCCTTGCACCTTATCTCTCATCACAATGGAAAATAATAATTTACTCCTGAAATGGAATTTTGACGATAGGCCTTATATTTTCCACGGCGAGTATGTTGAGTTTCTTTGTAAGGGAAATACTTTCATATCCGACTTCCCTAGCATGGGCTCTGAGCTCCGAGTGCAGTGTGACCGAGGGCAGTTAAAGTACCCGAGGTGCATTCAGAGAGAAAGGTAAGAGAGGCTCGTGCCTGCAGCTGGTTTGTTTTGTTTGTTTGGTCAGACTTATTCATGAGATTTATTATGTTACACATTTCAGAAATATCACATTCTGCAGTACTCTTCCTTTATGGTTATTAAAAAGGAAAAAGTTATGTTTTGTTTAACTTTTTAAACCAAGTGAACTCCTAGAAGTATTAATTCAACAAGTTTTCTGAGTTGTCTAAAGTCAAGGCCCTGCTTGCTATTTGACATTTGTGACACTTTGGCAGTTGGGTAAATAAATCCAGTTATATGAGTAATATTTAATGTGGCAAAAACTAACCTATATGTGCTGAGATAAGAGAGAAGCACATTTTCTCCCACTTCCCAGTCGAGGTTCAGGAATACATAGCAACATAGAAACGTTCTTCTGAAGGAAGAGCATGTTAGTAGCAATGATTAAAACTGTGGTACTTTGTTTCAGAAACACATTTCTATACAAGATTTTGGACTTTCCTTCTGGAGGGTTTCTCATGTACCAATTTAAAAAGTAATTTTCTACTACTTGATCAATCGAACATAATCCCTTTCCTTTTTAAGAAAAATATTAAAAGAATGTAGTGAAATAATGTCATTCATTTCATGGGATCATATTTTGATCCTTTTGAAGATACATTATAAAATGGAAATTATACTCTGTGTTCAACTAAATATTTTTTAAATGATTTATGGCAAACTGCATATGGTACTTTTCTAGTGGCTATAAACAATGAGCTTTATGAACTACATAAGGAGGACAGCTTTTTAGAGACTTTGAACACTAGAAAAACTTTATAAGACAAACACAGGTGGAAACTTTTATTTTTAATTTTTAATTGTGGTAAAAAGTGTGGTAGAAAAATTTATGTGTTATCTACATGTTTTAGTATATCCTGTCTTTCTCAATTCTTAGAGAAAAAGAAGTAAGTAACTTAGACAAAAATTAAAATGTTATTGTAGTTAATTATAATGAGTTTTAAAAAGAAATTGGTGGTATAATTTACTAAGGATGGTTACTTGCTTTTGTCAGTACTTCCTTAAAACAAGGACTAATTATCTGAAATGTTGAAGGGCTAAGATTGTAATAAATACTTGATCAAAAATGATGTTTATTTCAACTCCTCCCTTTCTTTCCTATCAAGGATGTTGTCTTATCAAGAACCCTTAAAGACATAAAAATGAATGGCAGAAAGAAGAATAGTATGTCAGCACATCACAAAATCCCTTATAAGACATAATTGTTAGAAGAAAAATGTTGAATTAAAAACCTCTAAGTTTTCGCTTGCTTGAAGAGTTGAATCTAACGTGTTTATGCTGAACATTTTCTTTATTTATAAATAAAAGGCAGAACATGTTGTTTCATTTTTGGTCTGGATAATTTGACATGCGACCTAATCTTTGTTACATGTCTTTGATCTATTAAAAAATCGACCTGCACATCAAAATATTTCTGGTTCCTAATGCCCACTCACTGGACTATACTGTTGTCGTGAATATCTGTGCAAAAATTCACATTTGACCTTATTGTCTTCACTAATGTTAGCATTTTCTGCTACCTTCAACTTAATATTTATGTCAACACCAAAGAACCAAGCACACTTGGGCTGAGAAACTGTACGTTATGTTGCAGGACTTATTTTATTAAATTCAGAAGAGACTGCCCTTCAGACTTCCTACATGTAAAGAACTTTTGAAATTAACTGTTCTGTTAGTGCCAAGGCTAATAATCAAACTGTCTGTGAGTTAGCAAACCATCCTGAAATGAGATGCTTACAGGGGTTTTCACAAAGACACCACTGACTGCAGTGAGGACGGACGGGGCCGAAGGAGCAAAGTGCAGGCTGGGGGAAAAAGCTTAGGGAAATCATCATCCAAGGAAGACATGACAGCATTCCCACTGCGGGGGCGGGGGCGGGGCTGGTGCTAGGCAGCCTGGCGCAAGAGAGACTTAGGATGTGAAATCGTCACAGATGATTAGATGGGGTGGGAGGTGAGGTGGAGGACTGAGGTTTCTGGCTTGACTAAGGGGATGGGACGCCCACTGACGCGTGACAGGAGGAGCTGGGGGAAGACATGATGTGCGGGAGCGGGGGTTAGCACGAAGATGTTACTTTCAGAAAGGTTCTGTTTAAGCTGTTTGTGGGGCGGTCAAGTAAACGTTATGAAGCAAGCCGTTGACGCCTGTGATCAGAGCTGTGGTCAACCACCCAGATTACCCTCAGAAACAAGACATAGCTCTCAGCTGCTGGGAGCTCTCCATGGTCGGCTCCGGAGGAGATGGCCTCATGGAAGAGAACCTTTTCTCCCAAGGTTATAACCTCTTCCCAGGGTGCCTGCACCAATGGCTGGTCAACAGGCGTTATAAAGACCCCACACTCCAACACAGGACAGCCCAGCTCGAGCTCCCCGGAGAGCTGGCTGATACCACTGGTTGAAACTTCATTGCAGCTCACCCTCTCTTACCTGCTTCCTTCCTCTCCCATCCACAGGTGTGGATTCTAATAGTCCTCCCTGAAAACCTCCCTGGCTCTTAATTTCCATCGCAAAGCCTGTTTTCCTGGGAACCCAATGTGTTGCTTTTTAGAGAACTTTATGTTGCAGGACAGTTTTTATCACGGTGACTATGGAAGCACACTTTGCTTAGGTGATGTGCCGTCCTTGTGGGACAGGGTTGCTGTGACAAAGATGAAAGGGTGGCTAACCCAGGGATGCCCCTAGGGCGATCCAAAGCTCAGAGTGGCGTGGCCCGCTTCTGCACAGGGAAACTTTAATTTTTCAAAGGGAAGTTAAGAATTCATAGACAGCTGTCTATTTCTTTGTAAAAAAAAAAAGATCAAAACATTGGAGAACATCACACATTAAAACTGGATTCAGGGCAACTCAGCATGATTTCTTCGGAGGAAAAATGGAGAAAACGGGAAGAGTAAAAAGTCAAATATAAACTGGGCAGGTTGCCTAATACTTCTTCTCAAACGCAAATTGAAGACCAGTTATTAGACAATAGGCTGGTTTCAATTTGACAGAGATTTTAACTTGTTTTTATATATGTTCAAAAATAACTTGAGAGAAAAATAAGAATTCAGTTATGTATTTATTTAGCAACAAGTCATTTTTTTATAACCAGATATCATAAGAATTCCAAGTTTTAAATTGATTTTTTCCCCAAATATAAGAGCTACTTGTCAGCATTGTCAACAGCTCAAACAATACAAATGTAAATAGAATAAAGAAAGAAAATTTTCTTTATTCTTCCCAACACGCTGGATCTATTTCCTCAGTTCAGAGATTAGCCCTGAAAATAATTTGCTCCATGTCTTTCAGACGTAAATATACCCACTTCAGTGTGTATTTATATACACACATGCATATTTTAATTTATATATATGAAGTGAGATATATAAATATTATATATCACAGTGTGTATACTGTTCTAAGACTTTCATTTTTACCTATCACCTACAGACCTGTCACCTTATCAGTTTATGTGGATTGATCTATTCTCTGATTGATGGACTTCGCAATCGTTTTATCTTCCTCACTTCCCTCCTTCCTTCCTCGCTCATAGGTTGTAAGTGGAAATCAAATAAAAATAATGTAAAGCTGAAATGAAATAGTAGAATCCTAAATATATTTAAAAGAACAAATGTAAACACCAAAAAAGATCTTAATATTCAATAAGCTTAGATGTTGGAGGAGAGGGAGGGGAGGAGAAGGAAGAAGTCGTGAGCCCATATTGTTTCCCAGGAGAGGAACAGACAGATGTTGCCCCAAAGTTGAGGTATTAGTAAAAGAATTAGCATAAAGATGACTCCTCTCTTACCTCTCAGGAAATTCCAAGGGTTTGGAGAGCTATGAGCCAGGAACTGTGGATAAAAACCAAAACAGAAAGACATAGAAAACAAACAGAAGAAGAAAGTGGGTAGGGAGGGATAAATTGGGAATTTGGGATTTGCAGATATTAACTACTAAATGTAAAATAATAAACAGCAGGGAACTATCATCAGCACCTTATAATAGCCTCTAATGAAAAGAATATGAGAAGAAATACAGGTACGTATGTGTAACTGAGCCACTAAGCTGTGCACCAAAAGCTAACACAACATTGTAAGTAGGCTATACTTCAATTAAAAAAAAACGACAAATACGTATTTCTCATACATTTTTGGTCATCTGAATGACCAAATGTGTATTTTTCCTGTGACTAACACAAGCCCACTGTAGAACGCACACGAGTGAGCCCCAGCGTGAGCGTGGATGTTGCGCTGCCCTTGCCCCCTCATGCAGCAAGTACCCCGTCTGGGCTGGGAAGTTGGTAGTGAGGGAGGCTGCGGGTGTGGTGGGAGGCAGGGACTACATGGAAACTCTCCGTACTTTCTGCTGTTTTGCTGTGAGCTGCTTTAGAACATAAAGTTTATCTTTTAAGTGAAAGTAATCTGTACGGTACATAGTATGATCAGCTTGTCCATTTTCCGTGCTGGACCGCCACCTAAGAACCCCTGTGGGGCCCAGCGGGTGGAGCGGTCTCTGTCTGGAACTCGCCAGATAAAGGTGTTCTTGATCTATTTTCTGCTGTGGATTCCTGGCAGTTTTGTGAAGCTCCTGGTCCCTTCCCAGAGCAATGTTTTCAAATATAATGAAACCACAATTACCATATTTAAGTACAGTTGCTATCAAAAGTGTTCAGTGTGTGGTATTTTAATACACCAAACCCTTGCTTGTCCCCCACCCCTAGATTTAGTGTTAGAAAATCCCCGTCTGATCTGGAGACGTGCCTTTCCAGCGAGAGGACGTTTCCAGCCTCCCTGGAGGCTGGTGGCCGCAGGACTATCCAGCGGTGAGCTGGTCACCTAAGGGGGCATCAGATTAGGAAAAAGTAAATTTTAACAACAACCAAATGTTTGTAGATTATGTTTTGAAATGTTGTATAATTAATGTATATATATAGTTGCATTTTAATAGAAAGATTTTAGAAAGATTATGATTTTCTGTGGTTCTTCCACATTGTGGGCATAAGAGAAAAATATAAACATAGATTTAAAATGGTGGAATGTTCATAAATTTGGAGTGTTTGTAACCACTGCTAGCTGAATGAGGAAAGGAGGAAAAAGGGCCATTTACCACATAGAACAGCTTAGCATGGCCTTGCTCCGTGTGCAGTCACTACTGTGGACACTACGTGTGTTAGAGACAGACAGTCAAGACTCTCCAGCTGAACTGCTGGGTCCGCGTTTATCGTCCCCACCTAACAGGCTGTGTGACCTTGGAAAGTGTAACGAGTTTTCTAGTGTATGAACTAGGAGTAACAACTTGACGAAGATGTTGTAAGGTTTTATACAGCTTATACTTAATAAGGTGCTAAAAATAGTACTTGGCTAATGTTAACAAAAATTAGCTATTATGGAAAAGAATCTGAAAAAGAATATATATATATATTAAATATAGATATATCTGAATCACTTTGCTGTATACCTGAAACATTGTAAATCAACTATACTTCAATAAAAAGACTAAACATTTTTAAATTAGCTATTTAGATTATTGCATAATCTTATTTTATCCTAAAATATTCATCAGGTTGATGTTTTATTAGTCCATAAAAAAGATTATGACTATTAATTAATATATTTTTCTACTTTCAGATCCATATATAATATCTGAAGAAAACATGAATAAAAATCACATACAGTTAAAGCTAAAAATGACAAAAAATGTTATGCAAAAACAGAGGAAATCATCGACTTTACGCATAATTGGGGTGTAGCGCAGATACGTTAATGCCACCATTTCGAGCAGTGTGTTGGGAAGGGGTGGGGGGCTGCCCCAGGTGTGTGTAAACAGGCACTGCCACCCAAATGTGAGGCCACCGCCCAGCCGGCCACCACGCTAACTCTCTTGCTAAGACCACTTTTGATATTTTTCTGCTGTTCACTACTTTATTTCAAGAAAATAAAACTGACATGAGTTTCTTTTTTCAACTTTGTATCTTCTCATGCTTATGTTAAAACAAATTAAACCATTAAACTTTGTACCAAGACGATATTAACTATTTTTACCTTAGTCCCTGATACTAGACTACTTATCAACAGACTAATGAGCTCAGGAATGGCGGTGATGACTCTATGGCCTTCTCCATATTGAACAGTACATTTAGACATTCAGACAAAACCAGTGAGCTTAGAATTTATTTGGGGAAATATTGCAAACATAAAATTAGGTATTAAAATAGCAAGTGAGAACATCTACACTGGGGCCTAGAAGAAGAAGGACGATCCAGTCCCGAAGTTAGCAGAAGGAAGGGAAGAGCAAAGACCAGGCAGAAGTAAATGCAATCATCATAGGTTACAAAATTGAGACTTGCTTTTTTAAAAAGATAAAATCAGCAAATCTTTAGCTAGACTAAGAAAAAAGATTTAAATACATAAAATCAGAAATAGAAGTGGCAACAGATATAACAGAAATACAGCAGCGCATAAGAGATTACTGTAAACAATTACATACCAACAAATTGGATGACCTAAACGAAATGCATAAACTCCTAGAAAAATATGACCTAGAATCGCAAATAAATAGAAAATCTGAACAGACCAATAACAAATCAGGGTTTGAATTAGTAATCAAAATCTTCCAAAAAATGCCCAGAACCAGATGGTTTCCCTGGTGAACTCCACCAAACATTTAGAGAAGAATTAATGTCAACCCTTCTCGAACTCTTCTGAAATACTGAAGAGAAGGGAAGACTTCGAAACTTATTTTGAGGCCAGCATCACTCTAATATGACAGCCAAATAAACGATGCTACAACAAAGAAAACTTAAAACCTAATTCCACTGATAAACGTAGATGCAAAAATCCTCACAAAATACTAGCAAACCAAGTTCAAGAGCACACCAGGAGGACCACTCACACTGATCAGGTGGGTTTGTTCACAGGTCGCTAGTTTGGTTTGAATATGCATATCAATACGTGTGACACACCATAACAACAGAGTCAAGGGTAAATATCATATGATACTCTCACCAGATGCAAAAAAGCACTTAAGTTTCAACATTTTTTCATGATAAAAATTCTCAAAAAATTAAATATAGAAGGAATGCACCTCGACATAATAACAATAATAAAAAAAAGCCCACAGCTACCACCACACTTAACGGCAAAAGGTTAGAAGCATTTCCTTTAAGATCAGGAACAAGACAAGGGTGCCCACTCTCACCACTTCTATTTGACGTAGTACCAGAAGTGCTTGCCAGAGCAGTTAGGCAAGAAAAAGAAATAAAAGTCGTCCAAATCAGAAAGGAAGAGGTTAACTTGTCTGTTTGCAGATGACAAAATCTTATATAGAGAAAATCTTAAAGATTCCACCAAATAACTGTTAGAACTAATACACCAATTCAGTGTCCTTAAATGTGCTGTGGAACTGCTAAAAGATTTTGCTGCGAGTGATGATACACTGTACCCTAAAAATACCAGTTTTCAACACAGATGGACCTAGAGATCATCATTCTAAGGGAAGTCAGCCAGAAAGAGAAAAATTCCATATGATATCACTCATATGTGGAATCTTAAAAAAGAAAAAGAAAATAAAGGTCAACATGAACTCACCTACAAAACAGAAACAGACTCGCAGACATAGTAAACAATCTTATGGTTACCAAGGAAAGGGGGTGGGAAAGGATAAATTTGGGAGTCTGAGATTTGCAACTGTTAGCCACTATACATAAAAATAGATTTTAAAAAGTTTCTTCTGTGTAACAGGGAACTATATTCAATGTCTTGTAATAACCTTTAATGGAAAAGAATATGAAAACGAATACATGTATGTATATACATGACTGGGACATTGTGCTGCACACCAGAAACTGACACATTGCAACCGACTGTACTTCATGAACAAATACATCAGTTTTATCAATATCAGGAGCACTGTTTAAGGTCTTACCAAGGAAAGTAGGGGCCTGTCTTGGGATTCAAGAAAATTTGGCTAAGGGAGAAAAAGGAGAGTCAAGGACTTCTTCAGCATCCTGTTAAATACCTAAGTGGCTGCCACTTTCTCACCTGCCCAAGTGGAGTCATCTGGAGATGTTTGTCTCCCTAAACCACTTCCCACTATGATCTACTGAATTCAACAGTGTCACTGCGTGTGGATTTTTCCAAGCTCTGCTATGAAGACATTTCCCTCCAGGAGAGGAACAGAGGAGGATGGGAGCAGCCAATTTTTTTTAACTGTATAAATATTTCTCAACAGTATGCTCTTTGACCAATTTTCAGAAGCTATAAATGCTTATTTTTTAAAAATAATTTTGCCCAGTTTTATTTCCACCTTTTGGGGAGAGACTATATGAAATTCCTCATGTAGCCAGTCTTAAAGCCCCTCCTAAATAAATTGATTTTGAAATATAATTTTTTCAAAAATTTCACAAAGTATTATTCGGCAAAATTATTCTTGACTAGATTTAAAAAAAACTAGAAAAATACAAAGACGATGAAGAGGGAACCTAATACTTAGTGCCCCTTGAAGAGGAATTTATAATAATCACAAGACTGGGGCTGTGTTGGAATGAGGACCGAAGACCTGCACTTGGCTGTCTTCTGAAAAAGCTGACTCCCTGGTCAGCAAGAGGACAAGGGGCTCCACCTCTCCTCCTCAATGGTCCATTTCTGAATGCTTCCAAATCAGACGCTTAGTAACTGCAACAGCAAAGAAGGTGCATGGCTATTACCATGCTCAAATATCAAGTGATGAATTCAGATTATTAATGTGAAAACATGATAAGACATTATTTATTTCACACTACCCTCTGTGAACTTTGATATTTACCAAAAGGATTTCGTTACACTAGCTTTCTGGTAGTGCACTGGATTCAAAGTCATGCTTATAACTGTAAATGAAAGCAGGATTCCAATCAACACTATGACTGCTGGACCATTTATAATTACACACAACTGCAATAATCTAGCCTGTTGCTCTTAATTCATGTCCTTCTAATATGGATTTCTACTGTTGGGGGACAAGGTAAGTTGAAAACATGAAAACAGATCTGAATATTTAGTTCCTCTCTCAAATGTGTGTACATCCATTTTTCAATGTGGTGAGAACATTGTGAATGAAGGATCATCATTTTAATGTATTTGTATGAAAATATTTCTAGGGAAAACAGAATGAAATTAATTTTCTCTGCTCTTTGAGTTATAAAGAATAAATAGCCACCAAACACATTTGGAGAAAAATTAAATGATGAAAAATCTGCATATAATGAAACTGAAAGGGCAAAGTACCAGTGTAATTCTGCACAAATCCTGCAATGCCACTAACCGGGAAAAGCATCCCAAGAAAATTCGAAGACCTTCAAAATGTTTGGATATCTCAGATTTGTTAATTTAAGATTTAAATATTCTTAAAACCAGGAATTTTCTACTCTAATTTAATTACCATTTAACAAAAAGTTTCTTATTTATTCATTATTTTTTAATTAAAATATAGTTCATGTACAATAGTGTGTTAGTTCCAGGCATACTACATAGTGATGGGGTATTTGCATACAGTCATTTGCATAAGTGATCACCACACAAGTCTAGTAACCATCTGTCCCCAAATTATTACAATATTATTGTTCATATTCCTTATGCTGTATATTACACCCTTATGGCTTATTTATCTTATAGCTGGAGGTTTGCACCTCTTAATCCTCTTCATCTACTTCACACCCCCCAATGGCAACCAATCACTCTTTAGCTTTCTGTATCTGTGAGTCTGTTTTCATTCTGTTTTGTTTTTTAGATTCCACATGAGGTCATACAATATTGGTCTTTCCTTGTCTGACTTAGTTCACTTAGCATAATACCTGCTAGCTTCACCCACGTTGTCACAAATGACAAGATTACATTTTTTATGGCTGAGTAATATTCACATATATGTTTATGTATATTTCATGTTCTCTGTCCATTCATCTACCAGTGGGCACTTAGGCTGCTTACACATCACACCTATTGTAAATGCTGCTGCAGTGAACACAGGGGTGAAAATATCTTTTTGAACTATTGTCTCCTTTAATAAAACAATATAGTATATCCTTATTTTTATATGTAATAAAACCAGTGAAATATCAATAAGTTATTTGCCTTTTCTAAGTTTTTCAACAAATGTTGAAAGTGGAGAGAAATTGTACCTCACTTCCTCATCAACACTATAAAGTATGTCTCATAATATTTTAAAAATTGTTTCTTGTTTCTCCTTATTTCCTATTGAAATAAAACCTGTCATATTCATCTAATTGCAAATGAAGCCTCTAGCAAGGTCTGCCGGAACTACTTGTTCCGGGGACTCCCGCGTCTCTCCCCTGCTCAGCTCCGGCTGCCTATTTTCACTTCCATTTGGTGGAGACAGAAACTTGCATTTGAGATGAGCTGATGAGCTCCAGCACCAGGCTGCCCACTGGACACGCACCAGGCATCCTCCTTCTGTGGCCAGTTGATTCGGACATGCGTCGGCCACTGAGGACTGTTGGGAGCAGCGCTTGGGTGAGGGGTGTGCTTTTGGATCAGTTGGTTCTGACGTGCGTGTGCCCCTGAGGGCCCTCTGCATTTAACAGAGTGCCTGATTATAGACTGATGAGAGCCCAGACTAGGCAGTCTGACGGCGTGCTTTGTTCTCTGTGCTCCGTGTTGATCTGTGGCTGTCACTCTCCCTGGGGAAATGGGAAATTCTGGTTCCATCCGTGAAACCATCTTGGATGAATTCTGACTGGAAAGCTTTTAGCTATGAGCCTATCACTAAGAAAAAGATACTTTATTGTAACACTGTGTGGCCACAACATTCTTTAGACTCCAGAGAAAACTGGTTAAGGTGAAACTCTCGAAAATTCCACACTTTATTGGAAGAAAAAAAGGCAAAAAAGTTACCCCCAAATTTCCAGTTAATTTCACTATATTAATATGTCAATAAGGTCTTTACATCTATTCTAACCAAATCTCAGACAGCTTCCCACTAATTGGGTTTAACCCTTCTTGCAACAAATTAATTAAGTAAGTAGTTAACTGGTCTCTCCATTTCTAACTACTACTGATATCTTTTAAACAGTTAAAAACGGTCTTGGCCCGCATATCGAGACGACTCTGGGACCCTATCAGATTTCACACAGCCCTGGCATCAGGCTTCTGTGGCCTTGGGCCCACATAATTCAGTACAGGTGACAGGGACCCAGAGCTACAGAAAATAACAAGTTGTGTTTTAACACTGAGTTGTTTCCAGGCCCGTGCTGTGTTTCTAGACAAGTTTCCATTATAAGCAACAGCTTGCTCTTCCCAGGTCAGTGGTCACCCCACTCAGTTCAAAGTTGAGGATTTTCAGTATATGAAGGGATAGGTTGAATTCATCTAACTTACCCAAAGGGCTCACCTGCCTGTCTAGGTGGTCCCGTCAGTCAGGAGACACAAGGATGTTTTCCAAGATATTGTGGGTTATTTTATCCTCTTCTCACTTCTAAGTGAGTTGGCAGAGTCTTACATTTCCAAGATTTATTTTAGATAAATGCCTCAATATACCTACAAAAAAGGAATAAAAAGCTAATCTTTTGTCTTTAGGAATGTGACTATATTCAAACTAATACAATATTTCAAGATGACAGACATGAATAACTGTTGAGATCATTTTATAACATTAGTTTGTTACATGCGTAAAGCTATTAAATAAAAGAAACCAAGGGTATAAAGTTTATTTGTTATGTATCTTTTTTAAGTTTAATACAAAGTCAGATTTTAAAAGCTGTACAAAGAGAGCAAAAGACACTTTAGGTACGTGTCACCAGCTTTAAGCTTCTTTCACTGCCCACTCTGAAACGTCTGCGTCACTAATAGGGGATGCCAAGCGTGTCCATCACCATCTGAATAGCTTTCAGAGGATTCATGCTTTCTTCCACCTTATCTCTTCTCAAAACCCAGTCTGGCTTCAGTCTGTGAGAAGAATAAAAACCTTGCATTAATCAGGGTCTTCTCTTAAAAGAGTTACCTCTACCGTTTTGTCTTAACTGAAATGTGGCTCCTCTGGACACCTCGCCTCCCTCACAATCTCTCACATTAGGTGGGAGGCTTCATATTCCTGCCTTTCCCGACTTGGAAACTATTTCTCTCCATCTTCCCTGAAAGATGACCCTGGCTCCTTGGAAGCTGAGGCTGTTCAGCTACCAAACTCATGTGTTTGTAAACCTGGTTCTCCTTCTTCTCAACTCTGGTCCCATCCTCCAAACGTCGGCCTCCTGCGGCCAGAAAGGCAGCAAACTCACCTGCCTGTTTTGCCCCCTTTCCTCGGATCACCCTCTGCCCACCCCTTCGCACGCGATCACGAGACAGTCGTCCTCAGGACGCGCACCCGCACCGACAGCGCGGTGTGAGGCTCCCGCGCTCCAGCGCCACTTCTGACTCGCCCCGTGCGTGGCTGCGCGCGTCCAGCGCGCGCATCCTCCTCCCACGGCCACCTCCACCCGGCAGATCGCTGCCCTCTTCCCCCTTGTCTCGCCTGGGTCCATCAGCACAATCTCCTCCGCAAATGCCCTTAACTCTATTGTCGCTCTTTTCTACTGAACTCAACCGGAAAGTTCCATGCGGATTCCAAGTGAACCAAAGCTCTGCCTTCTCCGTTCCTGGACAGCTGAACGTGGATAATGAAAAACTACAGAGCCAGGCTGGCTGCTTTGATGCCAGTGAGTGAAATTGCCTGGCAACTGCTTCCTCTCTCTTTCCCTAAGATGACTATTTTATTCCTTCCTTCTTTTCAAAGATCCTCTCCACATCCTCCCAGATCTGCTTCTGAGCTAGTGTTCACAGTCTCCCACTTCACTGAGAAGACAGCAGCCTCCGAGGGGAGCGCCTACGTCTTCCTCACACGGATCCCTACCCCTACGTGCAATTTCCATCTTCTTATTCTTTTGACTGGGGAGTGGCCAGAGGCCGGAGTGTGGTATATCCACACAGCAGAACAGCACTCTGGGAGGTGAGAAGAAAATCTACGCCATGCGCCGACACGGATGAACCTCAAAAGCATTCACCTAAGTAAGAGTCCGTCACAAAGAGCTACATTCTGCTTGACTCTACTTATGCGACAAAGCAGAAAAGGCAAAACTGAAAATACCGAATCATATCAGCAGTTTCCAGAATCTCCGGGTCAGGGGGAAACTGACTGCAAAAGGGCACAAGGGGGCTTTGCTGTGACAGAGATATTGAATCTTGGTGGTAGTGGTTTCACAGCTGAATACATTTGTCAAAACTCGCTGAACTGAACACCTATAAAACGGGGCATTTATGCTGTTGGGAGTTCTATCTCAGAAAACCTAACTGTCAAAAGTGGAAAAAGAAAGAATATATTCATTCATGTGTTACAGTTTTAAAAACATAATTAAAATTATAATTATTGAGCCCTTAAATAAAAATCATATTTAGAAATGGTTCCCATTAATAAATTTAAAGCAGATCTACTTTTATCCTGTAAAACATGCATGTGCAACACCAATTTACAACTATTATACAGCTTATGAGTAATTATAAAGCTAAACTGCTGTATAACCCAGGTCATGAAATAGTGCATTGTCAACACTGTAGGATTTATACCTAGTGGAGAACTGCTGAGTCTCTGAAAGGGAAGGAGAGTGGAAGGGAGAGGGAGGGGGAGAGGGAAGAGAAGGGAGAGGGAAGGAGGATAATTAAACGTGAGTTAACTTAGTTCATCAAAATCAATTAAATCATTGTTAGTAAGTTAAAATTAACTTAATCAATTTGAAACACAATTTTACTGTCTGATTGAAATGTAAAGTCATAGCTGAAGTTCTAATGTAATAAATTCTGGACAGTAAGTGAATTCACGAATAATAACAAATTTGTACCTTAAATCAATATAATAATTTTAATTTTATAGCATCTAATGAAAGAACGCTGCCAGAGATCTCTACAATAGAAGACCACTACTTCATAAAAAAATTTATCAGATATTACTCTTGAAAATAGTACAGTGAAAGGAATTCCACTGTATGTAAACTCGTGGGTTTATAACAACAGTAAAGGAATAACTTGCGAGCATCTCACATGGTGTTTCATTTTGGTCCTTGTTAATCTGCAGGCGCCACCAGCCCCCAGTGGCGCCAAATCCACTTTTCACCCTCGTCTAGCCTCACCTCTCAGCAGTGTCCATTCTCTGTGATGTCTTCCCGTCTCAGGAACGATTCCCTCTCAGGGCTCTTGCCTGGCTCTTTCTCTACTTGATTTTTGAAGAAACAGGGGTTACCCTAGGCTGAGTTTGGGACTTTCTTTTCCATGTATTCCCTTCTTCTGAGGCTGTCAATTTCCTCTCCAGGCTTTAAATGTTATCTAATGACTCCTGAATGTAATGATTCCCCTAAATTAAATCTCTAGACAATTCTTCTGTGTAGAACCACAGATCTGATTTCCTAATGGCTGGTTTGTATTTACCTCTGATTCACGTCATAGGCACCTCAGGCTTCCTGGAAACAAAACCCATGGTCAACATTCTAACCTTCCCCCACCCCTTCCCCCATCCTTCCCTCAACATCCCAGAGATAATGTGACGTCCCAGCCACCCTGTCTGCAGGCCCCCTGGTTATCCTCCATCCCAGCGGCTAACACAGGCTTTGTTACTTCATCCACGTGGCTGCCTATTGACTGTCATTCTCCTGAACTACTGATGCAGCTCCACACTGCACAGTGACACCAAGTCCATGGCCACAGTGGAGCAGCCGCCCCACACGTCTCCACGCTCTGACAGCAAAGGTGCTATCTCTTTGGTTAACCAGCTCCACTAACACCTGTTTTTTTTAAACTTCTAAAGTTACATGTTTTAAGCTAGTTAAAGCCACTGTTACCTCCATAGGTCTGATGTAAACTGAATGGTTGGCCTCCGAAAGATAAATTCACATCCTAATCCTCAGGACCTGTAGCTTGGTTGGAAAAAGGGTCTTTGCAGCTGAATTTAACTGAAGGATCCCAAGCTACAATCATCCTCAATACCTGGACTGACCTTAAACCCAACAACAAGTGTCCTGACAAGAGGCACGGGAGGAGGGGAAGTCTCGTGAAGACTGAGGCAGAGGACGGAGTTCCACAGCAACAAGCCAAGGATGCTGAGTCACCAGAGACAGGATGAGCCAACGAAGGACCCCACCTGAGAGCCCCAGAAAAAGCGAGGCCCCACCGACAACTTGATTTTGAGCTTCTGGTTTCAGGAACCGTGGGAGAACAAGCGACTGCTGTTTAAGGCTCTAAGCTTGTGCTAATCTGTTACAGCGGCTGCGTCACTAATGCAAGGCCTCACAGAACTTCTCCAGAAGGAGAAATTCCAGGTGTCAGGGTGATCAGGAGAGGAGCTGGAAGCTGACGTTTTGGCCAACAAGGACTTTCGGCACCTCTCTGACAAGGCAGCTTGTCTCACGTGCAAGGAAGGGAACGATATGGCAGAGCTGATAAAAAGCTAGTTATTAGCCTTAGCACGTAACTATTTAATACCAGGAATTTATTGACTAACGACTAAATACTCAAAGCTGCAGGGTTATTACTTCATCAACTACTGCAATTGTCTCCTGTTTTGTCACCAAAGGTTCTCCCTTGTTCACATGTGGTCTCTCCATCGTCAAGCGCCCTGTCTTGCTTACAGGAGGTACTCAATGGATGTTTGCCAAGTGGATGAACGAATGAATTGACAGTGACACAAACTGTAGGGTACATTGACTGCTCACCTTGAAACTGTTCTGGTTCTTACAGGCGTTTCTGGAATGAAGTGAATGCTCATGGAAGAATTCTTCTTTTGGTTACAAAGTATTCTTTCAGTGTTCACTTTATGCTTATGAGCTGTAAGTCTGTAGAGACTATAAATACGGTCAACAACTTTGGACCTACTTCGAACATCCTAGAAAAGAAAGTGTATCTTTAAACTAGTAAGAAATAAATTTTGTATATCTTCTATGCTAGCAAAATCAATCACAAACACACCATGCAGTAAACTATAAACTTTTAACAATGAAAAGCCAAGCTCTCCAAGTTCAGCAGTTAGATTGGTTTAAATTATGAATGAATTTATAGCAATTATGAAGGCAAATATTCAAAAATTATACACTTAACCCTATACTGAATAAAAAGCCAAACATTAAAGTCAAGATACCTATTATATATATAGTTCCAAGTCATATGAATTTTATGTCTTCAAAGCTTCCAGTTACTCACTGACCTCCGGTTTAGATCACCACATATCCACACCTGCCTCCTTCCTAGTGGTCTCGCCACATCCACACACATGCTCTCCCCAGACTGTTCTTCAATCAGCAGCCAAAGTGATATTCAAACTTAAACATATTCCAGTGTTTAAAATCCTTCAGTGGTTTCCCACTGTTCTCAGGATAAAAGCCACATGGCCTTTGGTCACCTCTACGCTGACTGTAATGCCTGGAGACAATAACTCAGGCCTCACCAGAAAAATGTCTTCATGTTACAGCCGGAGGATGAGGAGTCAGATATGCCTGGATTTCTGCTTCCCTAGGACACCTGTTACTTCCCTCAAGGAGATGGGAAAGGGTTACGTGGACGGCTCTAATACACTCCAATTCCGTAATTCAGTCTCTCCAATATGTAAGAAACAACTCCAAAGTCAGCACAAAAAGCAGGTGTGAACACATACAAAACTCTATTTCAGTTGTGATAATTACTGAAAAATTATCAAAGTCTTAGACTTAAGAACATGTAAAAATAATCTCAAAGAAAGGAAACATTAACACTCACAGAAGCTCGATTTGTTGTCTTCAATAAAACAGCTAACAAACAGCAAGTTTTTGTGAAAATGCTTCTACTTTTGTCTGCAACTTTGTCACCGGGCTTTTCCTGGTACATCTGCAGAAGCTCCAACAGTGTGTCTATACAGTTTTCCACCTCATAGACTGCTGAAGTCGTTTTCTCATACTGGACGAGAACAGAAGGAAAGTAGAAGTTATAACAAACACAGAAACTCCTAATAAGCAGTCCAGCCAAAATGAAAGCTTAGAGCCAAATCCTGGACCACGTGCAGCAGGTACTAAGGGCTTCGCGGAATGACTTTCTGACATTGTTCTCGTTTCTGAGCCCACCTTATATGCACCTGCATTTTACTGTTTTTCTTCCCAATCTACTTTAAAGGTCCACAAAAAATGAATCAAATTTGAAATCTCTGAAAATGCGCATCTTGATGTACCTAAAAGCAAGCTTAAAGACAAGGCCATTTTAGTGAGAACCTCTCAAAAAAAGGTAACTTATCTGTGATAGTTAATCATAGGGTAAGATTCAATTAGCTACCCTGGAGAGGAAGGTGAGCTTGCTTAAAGTAAAATAAATTTGATGATCATTAGTCTAGAATATATTTTTCATGCTTTAGTTTCATATTGGAATTTGCATGGTGACAGGTAATGCTAATGATACTAAGATAAAAACAACAGGACAATATGAATACGGAACACGTGCCTGGTCTACGGTTCAGGTGCCTCACGCAGACTGACTCATTTAACCCTCACAGTGACATTGGAGGTAGGTCCTGTCACTACGCTCGCTTCACAGGTAAAGGAAGGGAAGCGGAGAGGCAAAGTAGCCTGTGGTGCGCGGCACAGCTGGGGCCTGAACCCAGGCAGTCTGGCGTCAGGGTCTGTGCTCTCAGCCACGACTCCTCAAAGAGAAACCCCCAGGTAAAGCCTCTACGTTACGGCTGAGGGGCTGGCAGAGGGGATGAATCTGTCATCTCAGTTCCTCTGCATGCATTATAGCTTAGCACAGATAACTGCCACCCATCCAAGGCCAACAGGCTTACCCCCTCACACCTGGAGTGTTACAGGGTGCCCAGGTTACAGCAGTAGCTTCATCATGTTTACCAGACATGATCAGAAGACGTTCTGCTGCTGACTCAGTGCAGTGGGTGCACGGACATCAGCTCTGAAGGCAGATCAACACGAGCCCCAATCCAGCTCCACCACTTATCACACTGGTCCTCAGGCAAGGGACCTACCTCCCGTAAGGATGACTACTCCTTCTCTATGCAATGAGCAGGGTGATAGGAGCTCCCTTGGAGGATTAATGTGAGAACTAAATTAGATGGTGTGTGAAAAGCACTGCACATGGTTAACAAGTACTCAACACACGTTAGCCATCAGTGCTAGTAACATCATGGAAACAGAAGACGTAGTGTTTCTACGTACAGTCATGTTAACAGAGTAAACACGTCCCCCCGAGACTCCTGCACCTAGTAGGTGAATTTGAGCTTGGATGGAAGTTCTAGTGATGAGCAAGCACAAACGAAATCCGCTGGGTCAGATTTCCTGACCGATGAACATTTCATTATTAAAAAGCAAAACCACCTTGGCGACATTGAGCAAGACTTGCACAGCATATCCGATGACTTCCATACAAGGAACGCTACGATTACAACTTCGGATCAAGACAAATATTTTTGAAATCGCTCCACTCTGGGCCATGTTCTCACAACAAAGTGAAGACAGTCTAGTAACTACCTCTGAAAGGGAAAAACAAGAGATACGTTCAAGGCAGCAAAATGACATCGTATTATCACAAAGCGCTTCGTGCACTCAAAGGTGAAAATGCACTTCTATCCTGTACAAGACACTGTTCAAACAAACCCACCGAGGTGCTTCAGCGCCTCGAGAATAGCAGAGAGGTACTTGTACGTCAGGAGATGATGGAGAGCAAGGGCGGTTCTGTGGTACAGCTTGTTTTCCTCCCGAATCTCCCTGTTAACACACTGAAGTCTCTGTCGAATAGCTTTCATTTTTGCGCAGTCATTTTTCTTCCTCCAGGAATATCCTCTCCACAATGCCTTAAAGAGACAACACAGCAATTTTAAGGTTACAACCCCTGACGCTGTGAACTTATATCTACATCCACTTCCACAAAGTAAATATTTTCAGTCTAATTATATGATGTGATCAGATACTTTGCAATTAAAACTTCAAATCGGGTCCTAATAAATAGAAAAATCAATTTGCCTAGGCAGAAATACATATAATATTCCTGTATATAAACTAAAGCAGCATAATTGACCAAGATGTCCCAACCTATTCAAATTGCTAAAATACTTTTACAACTCTCAACATCAACTTCTTCTAGGGAATTTGAAAATAAAGGGCTTAACAATGAAATTATGGTTGCATAGTGTTTATGAATTATTCTATTGGCCAATCTCAGCTTTAAAATGTACATGACTGTGTTTTTTAAATGTTAGATATCATGTAGATGAATTGCAGACCACAATCTTGAACCAAAATCATAATATTTGCAGTTACCTGAATTTTAGTGATTCTGTCATTAAATTTTTCCTGCTTTCTACAGAGGAGAAAACGGCGTACTGCTTTCTGTATTACTGACGCGGCTCTGTTTTGCTGGCTTATACAATTTTGAGATTCATGCTGAATTTTTCTGATGCTATGATCTTTCTGAAGACACCTCTTTTGCTGCAGTCTTGCTCGAAACCACCTCTGTTTGAAACATACGAAGTTTTTTTTTTACTTCTGGTTTCTTAAAAAATATATATGTATACATAAATGAAATAAATAGAACACTGTATTGAAATACTGGCCAACCACCCCCCGCCAGGGAGGTACGTTTCCACTCCACTTGGTGCAGCTCCTTCCAGGCCCCAGTGGGTGAGAGAGAGAGAATGTGTGTGTGTGTGTGTGTGTGTGTGTGTGTGTGTGTGACAGAGAAAATTTAACACTGCACACCACAGTCCTCATTTCATAATTTATATAAGTCTTATCAAGCTATGTATCATTCTTCTATTTGTTTTAACTCGATGTTTTATATATAAGTATGTTAACATATACAAACAAGACTCTTATCCAGGATACATAAAGAACTCCTGTAATCATAAGAAAAAAGAACTCAGCAGGAAAACGAGCAAAGTATATGAAAAAACTTTTTAAAGCACATCATACACAGAAAAGAATTTGAACAGCCAACACACATGAAAGTTTTTTACAATTGCTAGCAGTCAAAGGAAATCCAAAGCAAAAGTAAGACATAATTTTCTATTCATCAGAATGACAAAAATCAGTCTTCTGATGCCACGTGTTGGCAAGGATATCTAGAGAAACACACACCCTCAGATGAGCGAATAATCATAGCTTTGTCCTTGTACCAAAAAAATTAACTTATTTCTATTCCATCAAATCATCCTAACAGCTATATGGCAAAAGCTAAATATTATATGACTTTATTTATTAAATATCAAATAATTTTAAACAAAAATTACATCATAGCTTTATTGCAAAGGAAAAGCTAACCTGAATACAGATGGCTGAGTTAACCTGTTTATTATTTGCATTCTTCTGAGCCACGTGAAGTTTATATGCTCTCTGAATCCGAACAGCAGACAGGTGGTAAAAGGCAGCTGCTGTGAAGCGAAGAAGCCTCGTCTTGGTTTTCTCTTCTAAAATCTAAAAGGGGGAAAAATTAACAACCAAATGTTTGACTCTTAAACAATCAACCAATGTTTATTTTTGTATATCCTCAATACCAAATTATATAAATTAATAATAAGAAATTAACTCTTAATTATTAAAATTATTTCCATTGTAACTCAAAGTAATTATAATTCTTTACTATACAATTTTTTTCTTTTTTTTTTTTTACCTCTTTCATGTGCACAATTTGTCATTGATTTATTTCTAATTGCAGAAATTATTCTGAGGGGGGAAGATAATTAGATTTATCTATCTGTCTAGCTAACTAACTAGCTAGCTATGTATTTGGAGGTACTGAGGATTGAACCCAGGACCTCATGCATGCTAAACACGTGTCCAACCACTGGGCTATACCCTTCCCCACTTACAATATTTTCAACTGTGTAACCTTTAAGTCAGAGTATAGAAAGTAAAATTATATTTGAGGAACTTCACTAAAGAATAATAGCAGTGAATTTAACTAGACTACCCAGTAACGCCTGGCTAAGGCTTTGAATGTACTAACTATAGTGGGAGAAGTCTAGGAATATTAAACCCAGAATAGGTTAGAGTGTTCCAAGCAGAACTGTTGAAGATGGTGATAGTAAAGCAGACAAGCACGTGAGGCGACTTCTCGGGTGTCGGACAGTTGCGCACACGCCTGGCATGAGACTCTTGCGGTGAAAGCTCTCTACGGTGGCTGCTGGCCTTCAGAGTTCCAACTTACACTCAAAAGAACAAAATACAAAAGATTTCTCCTTTACTTCAGTTACTTTGCCTCTGCCACTGCCTCATACATTGGATGCCCCAGGCATCGCCGATTCCCTAGGAGGAATTCTCTCTCACTGAAGGTGCGGAAGTTATCCCAGGAACGGTTACACCCGCTCAGGGAGCAAAAGGCAACCTGAGTAACAACATCCTTAGCACGGAGCCTCCCTCCTGCCCCTTTCAGCTCCCTCGTGAAGATTTATTACGCAAGAGAAAGTGTATCTTGCGTTTTCAGTGGGCATCTATGGGAAGTGGGCTCATGGAACAGACATCTCTGGCACCATGACCTTGTGACACAGGGCCCTGCAGAAGCTGAGTGGGTTCAAGTAAGTGGTTATATCAGCTTTGAGATTATCCTCCAAAATCTCACATTTCTTAACACAATTTAACATCAAATATTTTCACTTCATGAGACTGTGACATTCTACTTAAAAACACCCTTTTCCTTACTAACCAACCACACACCAGTGCTTGTAGAACAAGTGCAGATTTCTTTAATTAAACATACTTCCTCCTTTCACACCTCCCCGGCTTCCTGGCTCGTAGGTATCTTTGTATGGTCAGAGCAGCAGACTTCTGCCGGAGAAAGGCCTGCCTTCCTTTATACCCTCTAAAATTTGCTTGGATCAAACAAGCAGCCTGATGTTTCTATAAGGAAAAATTTGCAAGTGACATTAATAGATAGAAATAATAATTCAACCTACTGAGGTTCTTGAATTTCCTTTTGTAAAATAAGATGGTGTAATTATGATTTTTTTTTTCACTTTTAGTTTAAGAATGTCATGTTTCACACACCAGAAAAGGTGGTGTGATTTTGGAATTCATCGAGATCTAGAGTGAAAAATAAAGTGTTGATGAAGGTGCAAAACTGGAGCTTTTCCCCTTTTATCCTCTTGATACTTTTCATTGTGAACGAGAAAAGGACTAATGTCACGACAGGACAAATGCATTTGGTAAAAAGCCAGCTACACTCCAGAGAACGGAATGCGCATCACAAGCAGCTATGAGGGAAGCTGTTTGCAGCTTCAAGAACCACAGCGCGCCCCCAGCACATTCTAGATTCTTCAAACTTGTGCCATCCTTACAATCAAATACGAAGACACACAAAGTATCTGAACTGAAATGGAAACTAGGTTTGTTTTACAACATAATACCCCACGTACTAGCTGATTGACCCTGAGCAAGACCCTTCCCCTCTCCAGACCTTGGTTTACTCATCTGTAAAATGGGAATGCTAATTGTAAGTACCTCATTGAGTTATTATGAGGACCCAATTGGTAAATACATAACACAGACACAATAATAATAATGCTATATAATCACACATTGTGATTACCTGAGCATCAAAGTTTATAAGTATAATTTTAATTTTTATTTCTTTAATCAAAGACCATAGCTACTATAGCTATTCTAAAAACTGATGTTAAATATTTTAAACAGATCACTAATTGTGGCTTAAAGAGTATATTATTAAGTGTTTGACTTACACAGGCATAATTACTACATCTATTAATGACTTTCTCCAAATAAATTATTTATTCTAAAAGTCACTTTGAGAATATTTTATAAATACAGATATACAAACAGAAATACTCACAAATGTATTTTTACGAGTGAATATAATTTTTAATTGACTGCAATGATGTATTTAAGATAAATGTATAGTTATTGACTTATTCGTTTTCTGTTTTCTAAAGAAGTTCTTTACAAATGAACTGTAGTTTTTTTTAACACCTACTTTCATCATTAAGAATTGTTCACGAGCTGTTCTTCCAGAAAGTATAGCTCTCCATTTTCTCTGAATGATAACTGTGGATGCTCTCATATTCAAAAACCTAAAAAGTGATTATTGGAAAGCAATTTCAAATTACTTTAATTTATTCAGAAAGTATTATTGCCTCCCCCCATATAAATAGTAGAGGAGAAGGAAAAAATAAGAAAGACAATGAGAGAATAAAAGAAAGTGGAAAAATATAATTTATACTTAAGTTCTAGCAATCAGAATTTTACAAACACACACACGTGTTAACACAATGCAAAAGAAGTTTTACAACTGGCAGTAATTACAGTGGTCAGGAAATACTATGTTCCACAATGAAAAAAGATTCTGAACAGGATCAGAAGGAAGCAGGATCATCCAGATGTAGACAAAGCCTAGATAAAGGGGTGGTGTGCAAATGACGGCAGAGCAGGAACCCAAGTCCACACGGCAAGAGTCTGAGCAGACAGGGTGGTCACAGAGGGAGCTTGGGAGGGCGGGCCAGCGTCAGGCAGATGAGAAACGGACGCTCGTTTGAAAGGAAAGATGGGCACCATCAAAAGATCTGAAAAAAAATATTCTGTAAACAGAATTGGAGAAAAATTCATGTTGTGAGGGCTGGAGATTAAACTTTAGGCATCAAAATAGTGGCAAGAGGTAACTGAGAAAGGACAGGCTGTTTGATCTGTTCATGGAAAAAGTGGAAAGATTAACTTAAGTCATGTTGCCACCTTTCTTAGAAAATAAGGCTGTCAACGGGAAAATTGGTATTTTGGTTCAGGAAAATCGGATACCGGTCCTTAATAGTGGAGTGTGGCAACTATATTTTTATTTGACAAGCCCTGATTCTATCTATGGAATTGATCAAGAAACTCTTCTAACACTAGGGTGCTCTCCTAAAATGATCTTTAAAATTGTCACTGTTACACTAATTCATCAGTTCTGGGGACTGAAGAAAAATTCTTACACTATGAAGTCAAAAATAATATAGACAATCTGGCAAGAGCTTCTGAATATGTGTTTAAAAGAAATGGACTAGGAATAGGGAAACAGAATTAACTGAGGCAAGTTGGGGATTAGGTCTCCATCACTAAGCGTAGAGTACAGGGAAGAATACAAAGTAAAAAAAAAAGTGAGAAACAAGTGTTGCCTATAGCTAAATAAACAAACAAAACAAACCAGTGAAACCAGGGCCCTAATAAGGAAACCAAGATTCACTAGATTATTTTATTTGCTTCCCACGCCTCCATGCCTATACTTACCTTATGAACCTGCATGAATCAAATCTGAGTGAATATTTTTTAAGGCTGTCTTAGGCATATATTCTGTTTCATTAATGGACAAAACACCAACAAACAAACCATACAAAGTAAGCACAGCAACTATTTAAAAGACACATCAAGGAGAAGTGTCATTCTCTGTACAGACTCGGCTGCCGCGCACAGTACCGTCTTCTCTGCAGTCTGGCGTGGACGCAGCCCTGAGCGGTCCGGACGGCGCTCAGAACGGCCAGGTACTCTGTGCGCGCTTTCCGACACCGATACCAGGCTTGAATCTTGCAGGCAGCTTTCACTTTACATAAATACTTCCTGGCTTTATGTCTCCTCCACACAGTCTGTGAAACACATAAATGTAACAAACATGCAACGAGATGTCAAATTTTTTGTAAACTGCCAAAAAAAATTAGTTATTGAAAAGAGTTAAGGTACGGTTAAGCAAGGTCAACTGTTGGAATGGTCACACCATGACCTTCTGTTAGAAGCACTCCCTCCTGACACAGCAGCGCTCACCGGGTGAACACCTGCTGCTTCACCACACACCCTGTGGCGGGCCGCCCGCTAAGCTTAATGCAACTAGATATTTTAAATTGTCAGATACGCACAGTGCCTGGAAAGCCAGATATGGGCACTGACCTCACCATCTCCACCCCTGTGAAAGAACAGAAGGGAAATGAACACACTGACCACTCTACTTCCAGGGACAGAATTGGAATCCTTCCCACCTCCCTCCCCATCCACCTCAGATGCCTCCTGGGTTTTCTGTCCAGCCTGCTGCAGAGTCCTGAAAGCATCCGTCTCTCTGAGGACCATCAGATTCTCTGATTTTGGCAACCTCGTAGCACCATGACTGAAGGTTTCAGTGACAGCTGTAACTTCTTAAGTGCTGAGCACTGTGCTAAGTGCTAGGAGCTCTTACAATAACATGGGTGAGTGATATTATCTCTAAATTAGAGATGAGAAAATGAAGGCCCAGAGCAGTTGGCCCCCCCTAAAATAACTTGTTGATGTCCAAGGTTAATAAGTGGCAGAGGTATCTTATTCAATCTTCACAAATATCTTCTGAGATGATTAAGGTCTCTATTTTACAGAAATTAATGTTGAGACAGAAGAGAATTGTTACCATGTAGCCAGTATGCAACAGAGTCAAGATCTGAACCCGAGTCTATTTGACTTCAAAACACCTACAAGAAATATAGCAGCTGCGCCTTCTGTGGGGATCAGGTTCCAGATTTAGTCAACAGGTAAGAATTAAATGTGCGGTCAAATGTCTCTTGTGACGTCCTGAACTCACTCAGGGTACTTCTATCTGGTATTTATGTAAACAAACCTGAATACCAACATACTAGTATTCATAGTGGGAGACAGATACCAGTATTTTTAACAATTCCAAAGTGATTTCAATGTGTGCTAAAGTTTGAGATTACCGTATATGTTGAAAACTAGATGTGTAACAGGTAATTTTATAATTTAATTACATAAAAAACAGTTGATGTTTCATAGGACTGTTATTTTGGCTTTTCCATCATTTTAGCTGAATCTAACCCTCATTGACACATCCTGTTAACACCTATCAGTCCTTAACTTCCCTCAGCATTTGAAATTTGAGTATACCTCTCCTCCACCCTTAGTTTCTTTACACCATAATCTTACAGTTTTCTTTGTTGTCTCTTAATATCATGTGTTGGCTTCTCCTCCTTTAAATTGTGACGTTCTTCAGGGCTCCAGTCCTAGGTCCTTATCCTTTACCCGTGTTACACACCCTTCCTACACGGGGACCACCAGCTCCCACAACTTCAGTCACCAGTGTGTGCCAACAACGCAGAAATCACATCCCCAAACCCGCGCTACCCTCCAAACTCCGGACGAACACACCCAGCTGCCCCACTGGACGTGTGTGCACTGGGTCCTTCAACCTCACACACCCCGAGCTCAACTCTTCACCAGGATCCAAACCTGCCCTCCGCGCCAGTGAACGGCACCATCTGCCAAGTTACTTAGGCCCTAAGCATGGCTCGGTTCCTTGTCAAGCTCCCTGTAACCCTATCCCCCCCTCACAATGACCCTCACAATTCCACTGTTGCCCCTACCAGATTGTGGCCTGCTTTCCCCGGCTGCAGCGAGCAGCCTCCTAGTGCCCAGGCCTGCTCTCCTTCCAGTCCACCTTCCATGCTCCTGCCTGAGTAATTTCTTAAAAATAAAATATGATTCTGCTCTTCTCCTGCTTAAACTCCTCTAGAACTTTTTAGTCCAGAGGGTAAAGACCAAACTTTCTCTGGTCTTACAAATCTAGGCACCCCTCACTCCATCGACTGCAAGCCTGGTGGCACATCACTCCATCACACGTCCATGCTGTGTCTCATTTTTGAGCTCCATGTGATCTCCTAGAGCTGGCACATGCCTTTGATGCATTTCACTTGGCTATTTCCAATTCACCCTTCAGCTTAAGCTTGACATCTCAACTTAAGTGTCACTTACTCTGGGAAAAATACTCCATTTTGGAAGATAACTGAAATGGTTATGTAAGCTAAGCATTGTTCTTTAACCTGCTTAAGCTCATTTTATAAATTCCAAGAAATATTGGTCAAAGAAAAAAAATGAAAGCTTTACATTTAAATATGCAAATACCTGGATTTTTATGGCGCTATCTTTCATTTTCTGAAACTTCCGTTTCTGTAGAAATCCTTTCATTCTAGCTTGAATAATGATGACACTGCTCCTTATTTGTGAATCAACTTCTCTTTGATGTTCTGCAGACAAAAAGGCTCTGTGGTGACTTTTTAAAACCACTGCTGCTTCTCTGTACGATGAAAGCTGCTTCCTGGCTTGCCAGGTCCTGAAGCGCTGCTGCAGAGTGACAGCAGCCCTCCTCTGCTGCACAAACCTTCTCCGCTGCACCGCCATCTGAAGGAAGGACTGAATTCGTACGGCAGCACGCTTCTGTGTTTCCAGTTTCCTTGCGACCATTTTACGGAAAGCTTTCTGAATTGTAACTGCAGCCTTTCTTTGAGAACAGTGCTCTGCCTCCTGTAAAGGACCAGTGAGAGGGGCCCCACGCAGCCTGGGGCTCCCAAGTGCCAAGCTCTGACCGATTTCACGCCGAGTTTCAGGTCCGGAACACCAGGACGCGGGCTGGGTGGCGAGGGCTGCCGTCTTTTCCTCGGGCACGTCTTTTAATTTCTGTCTAACTTTCATGCCTCTAAAAGCGGCCTGCAGAGTTCGAACAGATCTCTGAACAGCTAAAAACCTTTTCCTTTCCGTTTTTACTCTGACATATGACCTGTAATAATTCTGTATAACCACGATCGCCGTTTTCCTTGCTTGATAATCAGCTTTGGCCCTGTGCATTCGGTAGGATGACTGAATTCGTGTGGCCGCCAGGTGCATACGCTGGATACCGGCTCGTGCCTTAAAACCTCTGTAGTGGGACTGTATACAAACGGCTGCCTGGGTGCGCACTGCACTTAGTGCCCTGTATCTCCTCTGAACAAAAATCACCTTTGCTCTAAAGTGGAGATAGTGCTTCCTAACTTTAAAGGCTTTAAAATGCTTCTGAACAGTGATGGCAGCCTGAAGCTGCCATTCCTGAATCTGTTTCCCTGCGATCGTATCCTGAAAATCCGCTTGCGCACAGGCTGCTGCTTTGAGTGCATTGTGTTGAAGAGCTTTCTTTTTGTTTGCTCTGTATTTTTCTTGTATTAATTTTGTAGCCCACTGAAGCTTCTGGTAGAAAGAATACTGCCTATGCCTTCTATATGTGCTTTGTATTATGACAGCAGCTCTGTGTTCTTCCCTTAAGAGCTGTCTTGCTCTCATCCCCCTGTATGCAGCCTGAAGGACCACTGCAGAACGCCTTTGTCTGACATAAAGTTCTCGTTGCAGTTTTGTAGCTCTGTACACTCGGTAACGTCGCTGAATTAGAATGGAGGCGCGTTTCCAAGTCTGAAAGGTGGCACGTGTTCTGAGCGACCTGAAAGCTGCCTGGATGATGGTGGCAGCCCGGTGCAGCTCCTGTATCTTTTTCCTCACCAGCCACCTTCTGTACGACGACTGGATCTTGATGGCTGCCTGTTGGAGACGTCGGAATTGTTGTAGGTGATGCTTCGCACAAGCATTTGCACGGTATTTTCTCTGAATCCACACAGCAGTTTTCCTGAGAGACAGGAAACTTCTCCTCATCATCAGAGTCCTAAATCTCCTCTGAATAAGAGCTGCGGCTAAGTGCATCTCTCGTAAGTGTCTCCTGGCTCTCATCCCCCTGAAAGCAGCCTGAATGCAGATTACAGCAAGTCTCAGTCTGTTGTATCTTTGAAGTTGTACGTTCCTTTCCCTCGTTGCCCGGTACTTCTGCTGCACCGTTTTTGTCACCTTCTTTAACTTATTAAAATAAGTTTGCTGTCGGTGTCTTCTGAAGTGGGACTGGATGAGCGTCGCTGCTGTCTGCATCTTTCTCAGGGTCTGCCTAACTCTGCCTCCTCTAAAACTGGCCTGAATTAGAATAACGGCTTTCAAAATTGTCAGGTACTCTGCGCGCTGAGTTTTAGCTTGATGATGCGCTCTGTATCTGACTTGAATTACCACAGCTGCTGTTCTCATTTTCCGGTATCTCAACTGTGATTGATGCATTTTAAACAGGGCTTTAATAGAGGTGGCTGCCGCGTGCATACGCTGAACTTGCCTTCTCACTCTAACACCTCTGTGAGCAGCCTGCACCGTCACTGCCGCCTTCCTGAGATTCAGATAGTCCTGACGCAGACGGTGCGCAGTTTTGGTATCTCGATACCACCTCTGAATTGTAACAGCTGACGCTCTGCAGGTTGCATATTTCTTCTTGGTTAGGTGAGCTCTGTACCTCGCCTGGATGGTGGCCGCCGCCTTGTGGCGCTCCTTCATTTCCCTCCTCACTCTCACACCCCGGTAGGCCGACTGTAAGATTACTACCGCGGCTCGCGTTTTCAGATACCAGTGGCGCTGTGTCCTTCCGGCCCTGTGCGCCCGGTAGTGCGCCTGAATCACACAGGCCGCTCTCCTCACGGCTCTCCACTCCCGCCGCTGCGCGTGCATGCGGTAGTGCGCCTGTATGACCACGGCACAGTCGTGCTGCTTCCGCAGCCGCCTCCGCGCCGCCCGGCCCCGCCACGCGGCCTGCAGCACCACCGCCGCCCGGTGCAGCCCGCCAGCTCGGCGCGCAGCCTCCGCCCGGCCGCCCGGGGCCTTCAGGTGCTGCTGGACCGCACGAGCGGCCGCCCGGAGCGCCCTGAACGCCTTGCGGGCCTTGGCCGTTCGGAAAGCGGACTGAATCTTCGCGGCCGCTTGATGCTCCCGTCTGATCTGCTCCCGAACCTTCCAGCCGCGATAAGCGGACTGCAGAGAAATCACAGCTGCCCTTGTCTTTAAAAAGCATGTTCTTGTGTCAGAAACAGCCTTGCGCGCCCGGTACCATCTCTGGATCTTGAGGGCGGACCGAAGCACAGCGTGGTATGCCGCCCTTTGACGGTGGCCCCGGAAAGCAGCCTGAATTTGGAGGGCAGCTCTCCGTTGCCGTTTGACCAGCTGGCGCACCTTGTAACCTCTGTAAGCGGCCTGCAGGCGAGTGACGGCTCTTTTGACTCGCAGGAAGTCCCTCCTCTGACTGACCTGTGCTTTGTACGCGCGGTAGTGAGTCTGAATGACGACAGCTGCTTTACGGATTCCCAGGTAGGACTGCCGCCTGTTTCTCATCCTGAAATAAGACTGCAGGGAAACGGCAGCTTTTCTCTGCAACCTCACCTGCTTTCGGACCAGGTACCCTCTGACAAATGCTTGCAGTTTGATGCAGGACACCCGCTCGCATTCTTCTCTCTTTAGCGCAGCTGCTCTTAAATGTAAATACTGCTTGCGCGTTTGTTTCATCTTGACCACTGATTGTAACTTTACTGTAGCATGTCTTAGCCTCAGAAATTTTTTTCTGGAAATATAAGCCCGGTAATATGATTGAATCTTTATAATAGATGTACGGATGTGAATAAACTCTTTTCTGGCTCGCATCCCTCTATAGGCAGACTGCAGGACAATGACAGCTGAACGTGTCCTCTGGTAAGATACTAAAGCTTTCTTGGCGGAAATATAAGCTCGAAGATGAACCTGAATTACAAGAGTGGCTTTCTTCATCCTCCTGTATTTCTGCAATTGTTGACGTTTTCTTACGTGTGCCTGCAATCTGATGACAGCTTTCTTCAGGTTTAGAAATTGAAGTCTGTCGCGCCTCATTCTCCAGTACGACTGGAGGACGCGGGCGGCTCTGACCTGTCTGCGCAGGCGCCGCGCCTGCATCCCGCGGAGAGCCGCCTGCAGGCGGAGGGCTGCCGCCTGCAGGCGGAGGGCTGCCGCCCGCTTCTGCAGGTAGCTGGCGCGCTCCGCCTTGCCCCTCAGGTGCGCCCTGCAGTGCTTCTGGAGAGTCAGGATAGCCTCCTTTTTCCTTTTATATAACTTTTGGGCTTGAAAGCTCCGAAATCTTGCCTGAATGATGACAACACAAGATCGAATGTGAATGTATTTCCGTAATTCTCTGTGCATCCTATACCACGACTGTATGGCCACGGCAGATTGTTCTCTGGCGCGTTTCCTGACGTGCCATCCTCTAAAAGCTCTTTGCAATGTTATTGTAGCTTTTATTTGTAATTGCATTTTGCGTTGCTTCCATCTTCTGAACGTAGACTGGATTACAAGGGCTGATGATTTTAGCATTTTGTATCTCTCTTGATCGTGCCTTCTCTTTAAAACAGCACGCCAGTGCCTCTGAATTGTAACTGTGGCCCAAAGATATCGTTTGTAAGAAGCAACAGCAATTATCATTCTTATCCTAGATTGCAGGATGATTGAATAATGTTTCAATTTCAGAAACTGTTTTCTAGTGGAATATCTTCTCCAACATCTCTGAAAAAGGTAAGAAAGGACACAAAGTAAAACAGACACAACTTTCTATACTTAACATTTTTTAAAGTATTAATTTTTCTAACTTTTTAAAAAAAATAAACACATTAAATTTAAAAGCAGTGTATTTTTAAGAAGATTGTTGTTTCTTTTGTTTATAGTTGAGCTCCTGCATGGGTGCAGCCTTATTCCTCTACCATGTGTCCACCGTGGTTTTGTTCCTGTCCTTCAGCTGACAAGAAATGAGGTGTCTACCACATCTCTTAAGATGAAAAGATGCAGAAGTAATTCAGACATTTACCCAACTACAGTTAAGCTTATTTATGCAAAATGACTTTGAAAATGCTACACTTTGTACAAATGTAAAGAATTGTTATGCTGCCTTAAGAGATTCAGGACAAAGTGAAGCAGGCTCCATGCTCAGAGTGGCAGATATCATTCTTTTTTTTCTCCTTAGTTGGTTGGTTGTAAAATCTTCAAATTCAGAAAAGGGTCAGTGTAGAGATAGTGTTACTAATAAAGTAACTAAAAAGAAAGAAAACAAACTAAAATGTAACACTAAAAAGTGATAAGATTATTGAAAAGACAGGAAAGGGGAAAGGGAAGAATGAAAGGGAACACTCAGAAAATAAATAATAAAATGACAGACCAAAATCTAAACATATCTATAAATATCTAAAATATAAACAGTCTAAATCATGAGTTAAAACACTGAGATTTTCAAAACATAAAAACTGTATGCTGTCAGGACTTCAAGTCACATATAATGAGGTAAGCAATTAAAACGTAAAAGGAAGGAGAAAATATACCCCACAAACACAAACAAGTGAAAGCTGGAGTGGTTATAGTGATGGCAAGCAAGGTAGACTTCAGAGCAAAGAACATTACAGAGGATAAAAAGGAACATTACATGATATATATAAAAAAAAAAAGCTCACGAAGAGAACAATCCCAAATGTGTATGCACCTAACAAAAGATCTTCAAAACACATGTGGATAAAACCAAAAGGAGAAAGACATACCCACAATTATTGTTGGAGACTTAAACACTGCTCTCTTAGTACAAGAATTAGCAAACAGAACATTGGAAGGATATGAAAGTACCGTCAACCATCATCAACCAAGTAGATCTAACTGACATTTACAGAACACTTCACCCAACAACAAAAGAATACACATTCTCTTCAAGTACACAGAACATTCACCAAGATCAAGGACCGTCAAACTTTTTCTGTAAAAGGCCTACAGATTGGGAGAAAACAGCTGCGAGTCACTGTCAAAGAACTTGCACCCAGAATATAGAAAGATGTCTCAAATCTCATTAATATAAGCACTCAGTTATAATGGGCAAAAGATTTCAACAGACATTTGGTACAGAAGATGATCAAAAGGCAGTTAAGCATTTGAAAACATGTACATCAATAGCCATTAGGAAAATGGAAATTAAAGCTATGGCACCACCACACATCTACCACAACAGCTAAGAAACACTGAGATCAGCATTGCCAAGGATATGGAGGATACGCACACTGGGTGTGGAAATGCAAAATGGGACAGCCACTCTAGATACCAGTTTGGTGACATCTTATCAAGCCAAACATACACTTAGCAAATGACCCAGCATTCCCATTCCTAGATAGTTACCCTAATGAAATAAAAATCTCCTAAAACTGGAAACAATACAAATATCCTTCAACAGGCTGACATATAATCAAACTGTGGCACATCCGTACACTGGAATACTACTCAGCAGTAAGGAACATGCAACAACTTGGATGAGACTCAAAGGCATCTTGAGGAGAGAAAAAAACCCACTCTCAAAGCTCCCATTCTGCATGGCTCCATTTATATGAATCCTCAAAAAGGCAAAACTATAGTGATGGTGGCAGAGCTAGGTTGCCTGCGGCTGGGTGTGGAGAGAGAAAGGACCACAAGGAAATAGAATGCAAAAATCTTCCTGGGAGATGGAACTGTTCTGTATCCTGGTTGAGGTGGTGATTACACAAATCTGCACATATGTTTAAATTTATGGAACTGCACACTAAAAAAAGAAAAGTGCATTTCACTGAGTGTTAATTAAAGAATTTAAATTAAGATGTTGATCAATGTACAGCTAAAACTTTTAAAATTTAAATTAAAAAATATATATGTTATACCTAGGAACAAATGAAGATATTTAAGACCTCTTGCATCAGACCATAAAACCATTTTAGGAGACATTTAAAGAAGGTCCAATTAGATAGGAAATAACTATACCATGGTCAGTAGCTAAAGATATCAATTCTAACTAACTACACTGACTTATTCAAGTAAATCTCAATCAAATTCCAACACTTCTTAAACTTCGGATTCAAAATGTATATGAAAATGCAGAGGCCTTAGAATAGCTAAAAACTTCTTAAAGAAAAACAAAGGGGGACCCAGCTACCAGACATCCAGATTTCATGTAAAGCTAGAGTAAGTACATGGCTCAGTGGCAGACAAAAAGAACAATGAAATAGAAAAAGCTTCTACAAACAGAACTGCACACACAAGAATACTTGACGTATGCCAAAGGTAGCTCGGCAATGAGGCAAGTATGGTTATTTCAGTAAAATGTAACTGAAACAATGGATAGCCATATATACAAAAGGAAAATGGCACCTAATACAAGTCACATGCAAAAATTAATTTCAGGAGAGATCTAAACGTGAAAGACAACACATTAGAGCTTTCGGATTACAACAGGAAAATATCTTCAAGGCCTAAAGTTAAGAAAACACTCCTTAAATGGTTTACAAAAACCCACTAACCATAAAAGAAAATTAAGGACTTTCATTGGAAAGACATGAAACTGTAAATCATAGTCTGGAAGAAGATATTTACAACACACATATCCAACAAAGATCTAATAACCAGAACATATAAAGATCTCTTATAAATCCACAAGAAGGCAAACAATCAAAATAAAAAATTGAAGAAAAAGATACTTGAAATAACACTTCACTAAAGAAGATTTTCAGTATGAAAAGATGTTCTATGTCATTCATTATCACTATACAACGACTAGAATGGCTAAAATCAAAGAGATAATTTCCAAGTATAATGAACAGTTGGTGCTGTCACCGCCTTAGAAAACTCTTTGGTAGTATCTACTAAAACTGAAATACGTATAACCTTAGACAAATAATTGTACTCATGGGTATATGTCAAACAGAGTGAATATATTTCACACCAAAAGGCACATTCATGAAAGCTTTAGTCAGAACAGCTCAAAACCAGAAAGCCAGGTGCCCATCAACAACAGAACAGATAAATTGTAAAATGTTATAAAATGAAAGTTAAACCTCAGCTACATTTAACAACACCGGTAAATCTCCACAAATATCATGTTGAATAAAAGAATTTACACTGTCTGAACCGATCCATGTAAAATTCAAAAAACAGGTAAGACAATATGATATTGTTTAAGGAAGATACGTAACAGGAAAGCGGCATGATCAGCATGTGTTAGGATAGTGTCTGCCTTGGGCTGGGCTGGGGGAGTTAATTGAGAAATGGCTTCTGAGAGGCTGGCATTTCTTGACCCAGGTTGTGGTTACAAAGGTGAAAAACCATTAGGCTCTACATTTGTGTTTTGTGCAATTTTCTATGTGTAATAGTTCACATTTTTAAGAAAGGTTCAAAGAAAGATCATTTATTGAATCAGAGTCTCTCACTAACAGTAGTAGTAATAGCCAGAAACAAAAAATCTCCAAAGTTATAAAATAGACAAAATTATGGGATGAAGTTTCAGTGGCATTTACATAGGGTAAATTTAAATAGTACACCTCTCTGATGTTATTAAAACAGAATCTAATATCAAAAACTAGCATATAGATGCAAGGAATATCTCCATTATGCGAAAAGATATGTTACTTTTCTTTCTTTCTTTCTTTTTGTTTTTACTAAGTAGAAAAATAACAGAGGTATTCTATAAACTGATTATAAGTAATATTTTCAGTACGTGCCAACTAAGTGGGCTGGAGAGGAAGACGTGCACACTTATCCCCAAAGAGAAGTTTCCAGGACTTATAGTAAAGATAGAAAGAGAGCTTGGCTGGGTTGACGGATACATAAGGGAGAATGG